TAAAAGCATCAAAATCATTTTGATGATACACTGACTTATCATACTGAGAACGGCACCACTTTCAATCCCACTTTGTTCACTGATTGCATGTTTTTTTTTTTTCCTGTGAGGAGTGCGTAACACTTTGTGGCGCGACGTCAAACACTTCTATGAACGCAGGTAGATAAAAGGAGAGCTTAGTATTCTCAGCATGAACGTCGTGGCAGAGGTTAAGAGACCAAAGAGGACATGGACAGAGGAAGATAAGAAGAAAAAAAAAGAAAGAAAGAGTGACCAAGCAAGAGGAAGCACAAGTGTAAATCTAAGATTGACTGGCTTTTAGTTGTTGGCGAGAGCTTTGCGAAATAAAAGGCTGCGAGACAGGTGCCAAGCTGGCCTTAATGCTTTGGACTTGTAAGTAATATTAGCTGGCTTGCTATGCCTTCTGTTGTTGCACTTGCTTGATGTTTGGCTGTGTCAGTTGTCACCTTGATAGTTTTTGATGGGAAGCCAAAGCCGGCCCTTTTTTTTTTGATGAAGATTTGTTTTTACGATAGCGGTATAAAATTTAATTGCACGCCAAAACTGTAGGGGAACCCAGTCGCACCAAATATAAATTCTGGTGGAACGGGGCTGTAAAACATTTATTAACGCAAATAGGTTGAAGGATTTTTGTGCAGAGTTATGAAGCTTGTTTGGTTAAGACCACAAAAAACAAAAAAAAGGTTTTTTTTGGATTATTTCATCTCATCTCTGTTGGTTGTTGCAGCAAAAATGTCACTGTTTAATCTGGTAGTTCTGGTAAGCAAATATTTATAAGAAAAAAGGTAATCGGCCACATATATCAGCCAATTTCTTAAGAACAAGCACGTTATATGGACACAGTTTTTAATGATTTGCCTGAGTAAAGATAATTCAGTGTTTACAAAAGCCTTTATCATGTTATGGCACTAGAATCCATAAATATAACAGCAAACCTAGCAGGAAATGTATTTGTTTAAAAGAAGAACGATTATAAAAACTACATTAAAACAAGATCGCTTAAAAAAAAACCCCATAAACAATCATAAAAACGGCTGTCAAAAAATGTATTGCTGCAGGATATTGCTCTGCTATTTCTATTTTCAAACATACATGCAGATGCTGACACATTTACAAGAAGGGCTGATATTAAAATGCTGATGTGCTGCTCGGAAACGATACAATTTCAACACGAAAATGAGGAAAAACTACGTTCTTCAATTTTGCACGACGACGGAGATATCAAGGCCAAACATGCTTATTTGTTTACAGCGCCTCTAAATCTCTTTCCTGTTTCCATCATTCACCTCTGTCTGACTGCGTTTGTTGTTTCGGGTGGCATCGCTCTTGATAGGCTGACAAACGATGACAGACTCATCCCATTTCCTTGCCCTCAATCCTGTGACATCATTTAGCGGATATGAATTTCAGCGGGCCAACACTTGTGGAAAAAAATAGCACAACTGCAAATGCTTCTCCACTGTAAAAAAAAAAATTACAGCAACTATCTGCTATATTTGGTGCTAAGATGCCATATTTAATTTCAGGATGTATGGGGTGTATGGAGAGGCAGCTTAACCTCTTTACCATCATGCACCCTTATATTAAACGACTTACTCATTTAAACTAACCTTCAGCATTTCCGAATCCACAAATGGCTGCTGACAAAGTTCACCCACTGTTTGAGCTTTTTTTTTATCCACTGCACAAGTGCTACTCGACTATCCCCGCTCTCATATTCTCACTTCCCTTTGTCACGCTTGTGCCCTCTCAGCGTTGGAATGATTTAAATCTACAAGTAAGATACAGAGCTGCTTCACAGTGACCGCGGACAAGAAGTGCAGACTAAATGAGAGCTGAAATACTAAAGCACGGGCATTTTCTCAACCAACAACAACAACCGGCCGACCTTCGCTGCTAAATAACAAACACAAAGACATTATTCCAGGTAATTTCATCCCGCTGTGTGCTCTGAACTCACGCGCCGCTTGTGCTGCGGCACGTTCCCCCGAATCGACTAAAAAGTGACTTCCAGGTGAACTGCGAGTCAATTTAGCGCAGATGCCAAGACTCACACTAGCGCGCGGATGAAAAGTTGTCAGACGGCGCAGCCTCCCTCGATTTCAGTTTGAAATTGGAGATGAGTGAAACAACAGTCATAAACATGCCGCAGTTTTTAACATCCCATTAAGGGATGCGAGGCAGAGGAAACTGTTTACTGATTACTGTTTTGTCAGAGAGACGTATTCAGGGCTTGAGGAGGGAGATTATATTAGTGTTACAGTAAAGCTGTAGAAGAACACTGAATTGGATTGTCTCAAAGGCACACTTCTCTCCCTCTCCTCTGCTGATAGAAATCCCATGAAGAGGCAGGGACTGAAAGACAACAATGCCAAATGTGATTAATCGCAAGATGAAAAGGATGAAGCCGGTGTCTGTGGCTCAGCTGTGGCCTTAAAACAAATAGTACCTTCAGTGTCGATTTGACACCGATCAGTCACAACATAACACCCCCTTTATATTGCGTCGATCCTGAGATCTCGGGGCTTACGAGGTGGGTCTGTGAATTGGGCTTGCTCCAGTGCATCCTGCTGATGACTGATCATATTGGGGATCTAGGGAGTTTGGAGGTTTGAGTCAACACTTTGGACTCTTTTGTTGTGTTCCTCCAGCCATTCCTGAGCAGATCTTGCTGTGCGATGTGGGCGGGAGGAAGCTGTAGGTGAGCGGTACGTGTCAAAATAACATCCGCGCCGATGCCAGGATCCAAGGGTTCTAGCGGAACACTTTATTCTAGCAAGATGATCAGCATCACCTCAGAGACTTTAATGTTGTGGCTGATGAGTACATAATGTGTAACGCATTAGTCCTTTGCTTTAGATAGTCTAGCTAGAGCCATTAATGCCACCCTGCTGTCATTTCACTTACTTAGGGTTGTCTTGTGTGTCCAATTGCGGATCTCAAACCCCATCTCAGCCCGAATGTCTGCATCTGTACTCGGCCAAACATGCCACTTGCAGAATAACATGCTGAACCCCATCAGCTCCGTCTCCACTCGCCTTTACGCTCCAACCACTTTCTCAGCCTATATTTGCTGTGGTACATGCCCCACTTCCTGCACCACTGCCTCTTTATTTATCCCATCTCTCTTCTCTCTCCTCCTTGTTCCTCAGTTCACACAAAAAACTCTGAACCTGTCACTCAGTAAGTGGATTGCAAATCTGTGTGCATACTTGCTTTGCATCTGTGTGTGTGTCTGTGTGCGAGTTACTGGGCCCGTTAGCTTCAGAAGCAACGGACCAAAAGCTCAATTCAACACTAGATTTTTTTTCCTATTTACACAACAAAGAAATGGCAGAAACTCAGAAAGAGGAGACTTTTAGAAACAGGAAGTGAGACGTACAGCGAGAAATTCAAATTATCAACACAAGTCCGAATTTGTATTTGTTTAAAAGAAAGGAGAATTAAAATTAGAAAGCCTCGGCAATAACAGTTGGAAAAGGATTTACATTGCACAGATATCCACTGAAACACTATAACCTGGCGTGAAAAGCCATTTTTTGAGTAATTCTATCAATAATTACATCAATCTCAATCTGAGTGTAGCACCCACCAGCAGGCATAGATTTGTGCTTTATTTAGCTGCTTTTATTAAGCAGACCACCTCCATATCAATTGATTTCTGCTGTGTGGCTTTTTTTTCTTTCTGACTAGCATGGATAGCACTGCGATGGCTGTTAGTCACATCCTTCTGGTTGGAAATGGTTGTAACACGTTTGAGATGGTCTAACATATCAATTGTTTGTTGGCAAGACAGACTTTTTCCTGCACAGGCACCAGCTCCTGTGAGCTACTTCGTTTTCTGAATGCCTCTCTCGCCGAATCAGGATAAAGATGATTGTCAAGATGTGCTCCTGCTTCTGCGCTTCCAGAAACAAAAACACAAATTGCAAAAATAGAGCCATCGTGATGAACAGAGACACTGTTGGGATGATAATAATGATGGTAGAAATCTAATTTGTCAATTCAATGCATGTTCCAAATTCTTCAACAGCAAAATGTAATTCATTCTAAATACCTGGGCCAAAGGCCAAATACATAGGTACAGCTATATGGAGCAGTTTCGTTGTTCATCCATTATCTATACACCGCTTAATCCTCACTAGGGTCGCGGGGGGCTGGAGCCTATCCCAACCGACTCAGGGTGAAGGCAGGGGACACCCTGGACAGGTCACCAGTCTATCACAGGGCTACACTGAGAGATAAACAACCAAGCTCACTCACATTCACACCTACAGACAATTTAGAATCACCAATTAACCTCAACATGTTTTTGGACTGTGTGGGAGGAAGCCGGAGAACCTGGAGAGAACCCACGCTGCACGGGGAGAACATGCAATTTCGTTGTTATTTAACAAAATAACTCCCTGCAATGTGAAACTGTTTCCGGCACAGTGGATCCTGCAGGACCTCAACTCTCTTTCAGCTCAGATTTGTGCCGGGCTGTGTGGTTAACAGCTTAGATGCTTATTTTATAGTTGACTGTCTGCCCTAGTATTAAATGTCAAGGAAGACCTTTGTAATCCCTAAAATTCTGTCTCTAAAGACAACACAATCTGGGCCTGGGAGACTGGCGGTTGGGGGAATGGTCAATGGGGAACCCCTTAAATATTTACCAGGTGCACCCTGGACAAGCAGCTTTATGATGGCAAGAGATTTGCTTGAGACAGAGAGCATCAGCAAATGTCAGGGTGAATCATCTTAGGGACATAAATAAAACATAGCAAAGCAATGCTTTAAAAACCTCTGTGGTCCATCCTGTCTGATTCAGTATGTCTCTGAGATGCCCCACTCTAGCCCACCAGAGCAAAATCACAGTGCAACTAAAGGGCTGAGTAGTGAGGACACCGCTGCACACATGCACGCACACAATAGAAATACACAAAGTCGTATGCAGGTTACAAAAAGATTCCACAAGATTAAAATAAAGAAATAAATACCCGATTTGAGTTCCTGCGATCACACCACATCTCGCCCTTTGATCAAATTCACATACCTATAAAGAGCAAAAAAAGCATTAAAGGGAGCGTTAGATCCACAATACGCATTTCATAAGACAATCTACAGCATGTAGATAGAAACAACTGCAGAGCCATGTGTCAGTCAATGGCCATATCACCTATTTGTGAACACGACTGTATTTTCTAATCTCTTTGTCAGATAATCTCCCGTCATACTCCCACGTTTTCTGTCAGTCTCCATTACAGTGTTCAGTGATGCATAGAGTAACGAGCCTACAAACATCTGAAGTTGTCATTTGCAAAGATGGAGAGCAGCCGTATGCTGCGCAAGGTTATGCATAGTGGCGGATCCGGGGTGATTTTTCTTTTATCTGATTGAAATCTAATTTTCTGGACCAAAGCTGAGCCCATTTCGACACAGTAGACTGGACGCTGTGAAAGAATCTTCATGCTGGTGTGTAAAAGTAAAGGTTCCTGCTACATGATAAAATTACATTTTGCAGCATTGAGCCTCATAGGATTTAAATTTGTAGGAAAAAAAAGAAAAAAAGTTCTCTTTTAAAATGCTCGAGCCATGCAACTGTTGCACTACATTCCTAAACACCAAACCTGAGGGTGTTTATCACTTCATCAGAGTTCAGAAATATCTGACATAAACAGTGGTGTCCTGATGTATTATCTGCTATTTACACTGCTTAGTTTGAAGCTTGAACTGTCTCAAAGACTGCTTTGTTTTGTACAATTACCCGTCTTGATGCTGACCTCGATCTGCAAGTAAACTTCAGAAAATAAATATTTCTTTTGTCACTGTGCAGCAACCTCGAAACAAAGGGAACCGCTTTGGTTTCCTCTGACAGTGAACCAAGCTGCACCTTTAAACAAGCCACCACTTCACCACCACATCAGACACTCACAATATGTTGTTTTAGGGGCAACTGGAAAATAATTCTCTTCCCTTACAAACTTTAAGGTAAGCAAAGCACAGCCAATCTTACCTGAAATGAATTACACTCATACGAAACATCAGCCTACCGAGATATTTTCCAACATCAGCGGCAGCACTGTTGTATCAGTTACACTGTTTCTTGGCAAAAAAAAGATCTTGTAACTAAGAAAGCAAGGAAAAGTCAATCCAAGAGAAACCCCGCTAGCGTGGAAGTGTGCCTCTTAAAATCAGCCGAGGGTGGTGGTATTGGTTGGTTGCCCAGCTGTTGGGTCCAACACTTCAACACTTTGCTAAAGACTGAAAGATCTCAGTAACTACTGGTTGGACTGCTATGGAATTTAACAGTCCCCCCACAGTGTGAACTGCCACCAGCAGGTTAATGTTTTTTGCCTCCTCAGTGAAATATGCGGGGGCATCGATGGAGTTGTGCTAAATGTGGTACACACCTGACCGACTGTTAGGAAGCATGCTAGGGATTGCAATCCCTTTTGTGTAGAAAGGTGGACATTCATCACACAACATTTTGTATTTCTGTTTATTGAATTTTATAATTCCAGTGGCTACCAGCATAATTAAAGTTTGGTTTACTTGTCTGATTAAAATAAACCACATATTTAAAAGGACGACGCGTTCTAAAAGCCATTAGCTGTAGGCGTTTGTACCTTGTAGAAGGAGGAGGTCAGGGTCAAAAGACACTTCCTTAGTGTGCCAGATGACGAGGTGTGGTGTCAGATTTGATTGGACGACAGATGTGTGATAAAATTCAAAGTAATTAATGTGAGTACAAAGGAAGGCACAAATGTTTTGTTTAGTTTAAATGTTCAATGTTGATGACTGGTTTTATATCCAGGAATTAAGACATTGTTGTTATGGGNAAAAAAAAAAAAAAAAGATCTTGTAACTAAGAAAGTAAGGAAAAGTCAATCCAAGAGACACCCCACTAGCGGGGAAGTGTGCCTCTTAAAATCAGCTGAGGGTGGTGGTATTGGTTGGTTGTTGGGTCCAACACTTCAACACAAGACTGAAAGATCTCAGCAACTACTGGTTGGACTGCTATGGAATTTAGCAGTCCCCCACAGTGTGAATTGCCACCAGCAGGTTAATGTTTTTTGCCTCCTCAGTGAAATATTATTTACAACGCGGCATCGATGGAGCTGTGCTGAATGTGGTACACACCTGCCCGACTGTTAGGAAGCACCGCTTCCCTCCATTACTACATGCAGGCCCTTTTGAGTAGAAAGGTGGACATTTATCACACAACATTTAGTTTTTCTGTTTATTGAATTTTATACTTCCAGTGGCTACCAGCATAATTAAAGTTTGGTTTACTTGTCTGATTAAAATAAACCACATATTTAAAAGGACGATACGTTCTAAAAGCCACTACCTGTATGTATGTACCTTTTGGAAGGAGGAGGTCAGGGTCAAAAGCCACTTCCTTAGTGACTAGGTGTGGTGTCAAATCTGATTGGACGATAGATGTGTGATGAAACTCAAAGTAATTAATGGGAGTACAAAGGAAGGCACAAATGTTTTGTTTAGTTTAAATGTTCAATGTTGATGACTGGTTTTATATCCAGGAATTAAGACATTGTTGTTATGGGAATCTTTAGAAAATCATGTATATTTGTTGTTAACTTCATCAACTCCACTTTAGAGCTCTGACCTGATTGGACAGTTTGAACTTGGAAGGTGGGCCCTACTGCCCTATATATGTGTGTGCAGTCTTCTGAAAAAGAGAGGAAATTGACTGATCCGAAGGCAGCACTGGACTGAGCTTGCTTGGAGTTGGAAAGTTTCTTTTGTTGTTTTTTTTTAATTCCCTCAAAGTTTTCCACTTATATACTCGTGCATTTATGAGGCTGCTGTTTTAAAAATCACCCAAAAGAAAGGCTTTAGATATTTTCAACTCACTTTTGTCCTTCATATGCCTCACCATGCCACACTGGTGAAATAGATGAGCAACAACTGACAAGACAAACTTTCTTTCTTTTTTTTTTTTTTATTTAAATTTAAATCGTACACTTTTAGACCACCCTTCAACTTGGCTCAGTCAAACCTTTTCCTGACTGTTTGCAGCACCGTGTTTTGGGTCATTCTTCATCTGTCAATCCACAAAGGACCCTGTTCACAAAGGTATGAAACACTCTATTTAACTTTACGCCACATACGCTAGCATATGTTGAATGAATCTGTTTGGCCCACGGATCCCTGTCAAAAATGTATATTAGCTAAAAGTAGGATTGCACTGTTGCCAGAATACAAAGCCAATTTGAAAGTCAACATTAGAGAACCGTGCCAGCCTGCCTACGTAACGATAGGTCTTTAATTGGGCAGGATTCAGTCGCGGAGATGTGATGCTTGCGACGGAATCAAATCAGAGTCAGCTCTTTTGGGTGTAATGCGGCTTCTAATAGGGCTGCCAGCTTGTACACAGCGACCGTGGCAGCAATTGACACTTTTCTCACGCTCGCACGCCACATTTCTTCTACAATGAAAACAAATTCTTGGCTGATAATGACGCGGTGTGTAAAGAGGACACCGATGGCACGTGGACAGACAAGACAGAGCGGGCAGAAGCAGAAGCAGCAGCAAGTTTCACAGACCAATCAGGGGGGAAAGCGAAAAAATATCCACAAATCTATTACACTGTAATTTATTCCCATGCATGCTGCTCGGAGCAATGTCAGTCAGCGTCTCCTCTGGCAGCAGCAAGGCGCCTCTCCCTCTCCTCTCCTCTCGGGTTACTATGGAGAGAGTTATGAGTTACTATGGTTACGGGGATGCTGTGTGTCTTTATTGCTGTGAAACTTTCTCGTGATTCCCAGGTGGCTGTCTCCTGACTTAATCCAAGAGGTTAAATGGTGCAAAAATGCAGAAAATGTCTTTTAAATTACTTTTTTTTTTTTTGATGGGGAAGAACCCTCAGATCTCATTTTACAACATCGTGGGGTCCGTGTTTCTGACTGACTTGTCAAGAGAGAAGAAATTGATGCTAATTTTCTGTTCTGATTGACAGTAAATTGGCAGTTAATCCAGTTTAACGCAAGAAGCATATTTCATTCATCGCATTTAAATGGACTGCATTAAAGAATATTACTCGTATCATGTTGAGACACGGGAATGTTGACACAGAAATATTGTCTAATAATCTAACCGTTTTCAAATTAATGCATTTAAGCAATTGTCGGTGACCTAGAGTGTGACACAGTCTCTCTGACCCAAACAGATCATTTTCTGTATAGGCGTAGCAATTATCAAGTTGTGCTGCTAATGGAGGGAAATGACCTGTGGAGAGCTTAAGAATTCAGGCAATTGTAGCAGCATAGAGGGACCTTAACACGTGTTCACCTCATCCGAGTAATCAAACTAATTAAGCAGTCGTTAAATGAAACTGCAGAGCTCTTCTGAAAAGGAGGCGATGCCTACGCTACAGCTCACATGCTGCTCTGACGGGGTTAACCGCTGTAGAATAGGCAAAGAGAAAGAAAATGTAATACATATGCTATTTCTACACTCTAAACTCAATGAAAATGAGCGAAAATAAATAGGAAATGTCAAGTTGTCATAACGATTCCCGACGTGGTATCAGTCATGTCACTGTGCAAGCATTTGCCTGCATTGGATGGTTGATGGAGGGAGAATTATAGAGCTTCTGACTTTATTGCACAAAGGGTCACAAAAACAGAGCATCATCCAGTGTTGGCATTCCATAAAAGAAAGAGGCAGACAGGAATAAAGAAATTTCAGAAGAGAGAAAGTATGAGATTTCTGACTGAGGTGCATACAGGATAATGTGAGTAACTGTAAGATACAGCTTCAAGGAAACGTGTGGGAGTGGATAAACACATGTCTCACATGCCTGAGTAGACGATGGTATATGCCCCAGTCATGGATTGCTTCCCAGAGCCCTAATTTTGCTTCATTTCCCATTCCATCCTTTAGTAATGAATCACATTCATCATTGCATGGAAGTGTCTGTGGCCGCATGCAAGGAGAAAAAAAAAAAAGACAAGGGGGGAAGACAAAGACAATGGAAGGACGAGTAATTGTCCTTCTCCTCTACGCTGACATGCTGGACTAATGAAA